CACCTTGATCATGCGCTGTCTTATATGTACGCATCACTTTTTGATGACATCTATTTTAGGATCTCAAAAGGAAGAAATATTCTAGAAGTAGTCTCTATGCATCATTTGGGAGTTTGCAGACAAGAAATCAACAATGTAGCATCAGACTGATGTCAAAATTTGCTGGCAAATCCATGTGCAGAAGTATCTGCTATTCTATTATAAAACTAGAGATATGCTCTTATCTTGCTCTGGATGTAATTTCTTCTTTTACTTATACACAAGCCGTTTTCATTTCTTATTGTGGATCACTTCCTTCCATGTTACTAAATCTCTTACGTATCCTTTCCAAGTCTCACCACAGTAATAGTAAAATGGTATGCCTGGTACAAACTACTACAATTCAAGTATTCAACAATTGCACAGTAGAAGTTATGGTGGAACCCATGGACCATCAGTAGGTCCACATCTTGGGACTGGTTAACTGGCAAACTGCCCAATGTGTAGATTTCACGTTTTTACTTCAAAACAGAAGTACTACATCATATGGTTAAAAAAAGAGCTATCTAATCTCTGCACTCTGCACTGTGTACCCACAGTTGTGTGTTTGTATTGCGCTCAGAACTCGGTTGTTGTATTACAACACCCCAAGACAATTGCATGTGGGCGTGCATTTATGGCTAACAGATGCATTTACCCTGTAGGTCACATGGGTTGAGCATACTGAATACGATGAGGCATCTGTCCATCAGTTCTACCGACCACTTCTCCGATCTGGTCTTGCCTTTGGCGCCAGCCGTTGGCTCGCCACTCTGCAGCGCAAGTGTGAATGCCTGGCCATCCTCATGTCCTCTGCTACAGTGTCACCTAATGAACCAACAGGTACAGAAATTTCGGAACCTTTCCCATTTTCCATGTACACCCTGTAAAGCTCACTGTTTCTATGCCAAATAACACACGTAGCTTACTACTTTACAAATAAGACTACTACTTTTGAAGTAATTCTATTCTGTTCAAAACAATACTTTGGTAAGTACACTTATTTAGAATGTCGATAATAATATGTTGCATTTGGTGCCAGCTATATCGCAAGAGGGTAAGCGTAGCATGCTGAAGCTTGCACGCAGGATGACGGAGAACTTCTGTGCGGGGGTGAGCGCATCATCCGCGCGTGAATGGAGCAAGCTGGATGGTGCAACAGGTAGCATCGGTGAGGATGTGCGTGTCATGGCACGAAAGAGCGTGAGCGAGCCTGGGGAGCCACCAGGGGTGGTGCTGAGTGCCGCCACTTCTGTATGGGTGCCTATTGCCCCTGAGAAGTTGTTCGACTTTCTGCGTGATGAACAGCTGCGTGCCGAGTGGGACATCCTCAGTAATGGAGGGCCCATGCAGGAGATGGCTCGAATTGCAAAGGGGCATCAGAATGGAAATTCGGTATCCCTTCTCAGAGCCAGTGTGAGTATTACTTAATCTGCTTCTGTTCTATTACTTCTTTAATAGTTAACTCTTAACTGGTTAAAGAGGTTTTCCCAGAATGGCGATATGTCTAGGGTATAGCACATCACTTTCACTAGATCAGATATGAACCAGCAACATTTTTGTTGTTTGTTCCACATGCTTACCCATGAATTGGTATATGGCTGTGCATAATTTTTGAAGTGTACTTAGATGGATTTAGTACTTGATTAAGAAAATGATTTAGTACTCCATTTCACGTCACTTTCTAGCTGACCACTGACATCACAAACAGCTTACTGAACTCTGGATTTTTTTTACATAAATGGAATAGTTTCTGGATGTCACAAATATAGGCTAGCTGACGATAGTCTGGGAGCTGTCACATAGAATAATACTTCAACACCATATCCATTATCCAGTAATAATCACTATGTTGTGAACCAATGAGGGCATGTACAATGGTGGCATATGGATACATATGCCCCATGACAAAAAGTAATTTGAGGCATCTACATTTATTTTTTCTCCCCAATGCAAGCTATCACTAGTGGGCCTTATTAAGAAATAGAAAATAAAGACTTTAGTACACATGCATCTCTACTTTTTACTTCAACCTTTTCAGCTTTTGTCACTGGACCACACTTTTTCTCTTCAAGTACCCGCCTCCTGGAGAGGATCCCGCTTCCCTATCCAAACCTACTTTACGTCATATCCGATCCTACATGGCATGCGAGGCATCACCTTGAGGCTATGCATTGTACATGCCCTGATGACAAGGAGAAGATCACAAAGAAAAGTCTGGCAACTTTCCATCAAGTACTGTTAGGAGTCTAGGGCAGCTGAGAAAAGGTCGTAATCATGGGCCAAAAGCTAAAGCCGACTAGAAAGTCTAGAATGAGTAGCGCCACACTTTTACACAACGTCTGCGGAAGGGTCCAAAACTGGGACCAAACTGGGGAACGAGGGGCAGATCTGCTTGAAAAGGTGTCAGGTTGACAACTTTCATTACTGTTTTGTAATGCGTACAAAGTGTTAGAATCCAAACCCAAAGCTGTCCCGGATCCTTTGTGCAGATCGTGTAGATCCTGATCCCAAAAACTTCTTAAGAAAAGAAAAGAAGAACCACACCTTTCCTCGTGCAGATAATGTGCCATGTGCTCTCGTTTCTGAACTCTTTAATTGTCAGATACAAACTATTGACTGCTCCATCAAAATTTCAACATTTTTGTTCTGGATATTTTGAGTTTTACTATTGATATTACCAAATGTTATAAAAAAAACTCTGATTATTCATACCTTCTGCTGCAGGCCATGAGTGCCAACCAGAGCAGCATGCTGATCCTTCAGGAAACGTGCACTGATGCATCTGGGTCGATTGTTGTATACGCTCCTGTGGACATCCCGGCGATGCAGCTCGTCATGAACGGCGGGGACTCCACCTATGTTGCTCTGCTGCCATCTGGATTTGCCATTCTGCCCGATGGTCCTAGCATCGGCAGCGAGCACAAGACCGGCGGCTCTCTGCTGACCGTGGCATTCCAGATTCTTGTGAACAGCCAGCCCACCGCCAAGCTCACCGTGGAATCCGTCGAGACCGTGAACAATCTTATCTCCTGCACTATCAAGAAGATCAAGACGGCGCTGCAATGTGCAACGCCTGAGTGTTAGGGTGGATTTTGCCTTGGGGAGGACCGGTGACGCCGAGCCTGAGTCAAGAACGAACCGCGCAATGAAAAAAAAAATCCTTTGCTAGGTGATAAGGATCTTACTTGAAAGGTCCTTAGCACAGAGCAATGGTGGTGGTTCGGGTATTGACTCGGCCTCTTCCGTCGGCTGTATTCCCCGGCGCCATGCATTTTAGACATTTCTTGAAGGACATGCTATAGTTCCATCGTTTTAGGGTGAGCTTTCGGCTGGCTCGTTGCCTCTGTTTTGTCCGTCTCTCTCTTTCTGTTGTAAGGATGAGCTGGTGTGCAAGTGGAGACTCAGGAATGCTGGGTTGATCTACTAGTGCCGTCCATAGGTTCTGGTAGAGGTCTAGAATCAAACATGAACGTTTGAAAGCTATCAGCCAAATAATGTCTGGCGTTGCTGTGGATCAACTGGGATTTATTTTTGCAATCAATGGCCGGCCAAAGTTCAGATTGCTGCTGTACTGACGCTCTTCTTGGTTGTAGTCTTTGGTCATGTATGTGCTGTTCGGAGTACCTACAGTTTGGTCATAAAGAGCGGTCTTGAAAGGTCCTGCGAAGTTCAGTATGCTATCAAGTCTTGGCAAAGAAATACTGTGGGTGCTCAGCGTCAACACATTGCCACGGCCACATAGGATTCACTGCTCTCTGCTGCGGCGTGGGGTCGCTGGCTGTTACGTCGATGGCGATGGGTCGTGCTGCTGTCACGCCCAGTTTGACAGTTTGCACGTACAGCCGAAAGGTTTTTTCTTTCTTTCATCTCAACGACCCGGAGGAAAAAAGACTTCTTTTCACACTGGACTATACACGTATAATTGGATTAGAAGAGAAGTCCGGTACTGTCCTTTGCATCACCGAAATCTATCGGCTTTTCGGCGCTGTCAACAAACATGCCGGCGCTCGTGACGTGACCCGCGTGAATTGGGCGTTTACCACTCTAGTCAATTCACTCCCGATGCCGCTCAAACGTGTCATGAATCATAGTAACACAGTACTCCTGTGCATGACCGAGGCCGAGTTCTTGGGAAGACGTAGCTTTACCGTTACATCGGTGGACTGCACGTATGCAACTGAGCTCAGGCTGTAGGTGAGGGTGGACTAAATGGGACATGTGTAGTTACCGAGCTCAACCAAAAGGCAGGTGGTGTTACTCTTGTACAATCAAATGTAAGTAAAGATCAATCATGCAATACAATCAAACAAACATACAACAAGTGTTGTGCATGGTGTCAGTGTCATTGTGGTGTGAGATCATGTGACGTGACCCGCGTGAATTGGACGTTTACCACTGTAGTCTTGTTCACTCCCGATACCGCTCAAACGTGTCATGAGTCATAACGCAGTACTCCTGTGCATGACCGAGGACGAGTTCTTGGGAAGACTGAGCTTTACCGTCACATCGGTGGACTGCACGTATGCAACTGAGCTCAGGTTGTAGGTGGGTGTGGGACTAAGGCCGTGTTCGGAGGTACTCCGCTTCACAGCTCCACTCCCGGAGCTAGTGGAGTTATAGTTGAAATTTACGGAGCGCCAGTTTACTGGCTCCGCACCTCTTCGGAGCTGGTGGGATTCCGAACGGCCCCTTAATGGGACACACGTATAGTTACTGAGCTCAACCAAAAGCCAGGTGGTGTTACTCTTTGTACAATCTACGTAAGTAAAGATCAATCATAAACAATCATACAATACAGTCAAACAAACATACAACAAGTGTTGTGCATGGTGTTAGTGTCATGGTGTTGTGAGATCATGTGTTAGTGTTAACTCATAAGAGTTTGGAAAACAACATAGTGGTTGTCAATTGGAATACATGTGACATAAGGGTTCACATGCAAGTGTCACGACCCGGTCCTGAATGGGGCCCCAAATCTCTATGCTTTATGCCAGTCCCTGAATTGATTGTTGACCCACACAGTTGACAATGAAATACCAAGAAATAACACACATCCTAGTATTACATCACAGATCCGGTCTTTAAGTCATTACATACCTACTAGCTCATGGGCTAGCTTACAATACAATCATGCAGTGGAGATAATATTCTAATCTTGTGATGACCATCCACACACAGGCAACAGTTGAGTATAGCGTCATAACCCTACTTTGTACCTTTCTTTGGTACGGTAAACCTGCAACATATATGTTGCAGCCACAAGGGTCAATACATTGAATGTATTGGCAAGTAACAACTTTGAAGTAGAAACCCTATAGGTGTTCAACAAGCCAAGGGAAGTGTGGTCATTTTATTTTTCGAAAAATTATTCTCCTAGCCTCTACTTACTAGTCAAGGTATTTCAACATAATTGTCTAATAAACGACTTAGGACTTCTCCAATTGGTTTACCACGAGAGCCCTTCGGGATCACAGTTTCTAAAAAATGCCAGGAGAGCCCCTCGGGATCGTGGGTAAACAACACTGCCATGAGATTCCATCAGAATCATGGTTAACAAATAATTCCACGAGAGCCCCTCAGGATCGTGGTTAAGAACATTGCCATGAGAGACCCTCAGGATCATGGTTAAACAAACATTTCCACGAGAGCCCCTCAGGATCGTGGCTAACAAACATTGCCATGAGAGCCCCTCGGGATCATGGTTTCTCAGTCACAACATGGTCGGACACTCTTGTCCAAGATTCACACAAAACTCAACAACCAAGGTAACGTAAGTTTCGACAACATGTGGCTATCATGTTCTGGTTTCAAAACTTTGTAAAGTAAAACAAGGTAGAGCAAGTTCAAGAATGCAACTTGCCTGGTAATCGTTGATGTTATTCACACAAAGAAATCTTGGTAAGTGATGAAGTTCTTCACACACACATTCTTTATAAGCTACTCTTCGCTCTCCGAGCGATCTATCATAAGTAAGAGCAACCATAAATAACCATACAATACAATGAAACATACAACAAGTGTTGTGCATGGTGTCAGTGTCATTGTGTTGTGAGATCATGTGTCATTATTAACTCATAAGAGCTTGGAAAACAACATAGTGGTTGTCATTTGGAATACATGTGACATAAGGGTTCACGTGCAAGTTCTCAATAAGGTTCATCACATAAGGAGTATTTGATGTCAAGTTGTGGTTGTCAGATCCAATCAGAAGGAATCATAACAACAGAGTCATGGTCTATGAATCTAGGATAGCCAAGTTCATGTTCAAGTTTGAACATTTCAAACTTGTTAACCTTTCATGAGCTTGGATACACACTAAGTGTTTGAAAATGATAAGTTGGTCTGGCTTCTAATTGAATTTGAATTTGAATTAGGGTTCACCATGTTTGAATTCAAATTGAATGAAGATTTGAAATTGAATCGGGTTTGAATTATCAAAGCTAGGTTCAAGTCCAAAATATTTCATAATGGACTAGTGTTGGTTCATGAATTCATTTACAAAATTATTACATTTAATTTGGATTAATTAAATGACTTCTAAGTTTCACTTATGTTAACTTGATATACAAACTACTTCATATTTGACTAAGCTGGTTCAATTCAACTCAGTATAGTTAATGCTCCCATAGAGTCATATACAAAATCCAATATAAGTAATAAATTTTATTTTTTGAATTAAATAAGGTCAAATATAAATCTAAACTGATTTACTATGTGGAAATAGTTTTCAAACTTTATTCAAGTTTGGATTTAATTTAGTTTGAGTTCATCTTTCCCCAAAGTCAAATATTAATCCCAAATACAACTACTAGGTTTAATTCAATTCACTAAACCATATTGCATTCCCCAAAGTCAATATGGTTTAGTGAATTGAATTTGAATTTGAATTAGGGTTTCAAAGTTATAAACAAACTATGTTTGAATTTAATTCAAATATTATTTGAATTTCCTAAAGTCAAATAATAATCCAAAAGAATATACTAAAGTTCATTTTAAGTTTCTAAACTAGTTGCAGCATAATTATCTTGTTAAACATTTTTAATTCAAAGTTAAACCAAACTAAGTTTTAAATTCTATTTGAATTACTGCTACTGTTTAAACTATATTTGAATCCTAATTTTAAATTATTTTAAATTAGAATATAATGGCTAAGATGAAACTATATTTCTACAGGTTCAAAATGCAAAAAGAATCAATTTATTTGGATTTCTAAATCGCAAATTATGCCATATTTAAGTTTGAACTCATTCTATTGAAATTTAAATTTTAAAATATTCAATTTCCAAATTTCACTTTTATAGATGAAAGTATTTTTCATGAGGGTCATGTTGCAAAAAGTTTTACTAGAATTGGACTTACAGGTAAAAAATTTATGATGTGTTAAAGTTCCACGGGCTTTTCTGCAAATGTGCCAATTTCCAGAGATTTAAATTAAAACGATTTCGTGTTGTGGATAAGGTGGGTGACGTGTCAACTCCTGATTGGCTGATGCCTTTTGGATTTAAGTGATCTAACGGAGGACGTCTGATCGAGATCCAATGACAGAAGGTGTGTACCCCTTCGAGGTTTAACTGGATCTAATCATGCACGTGCGTGCATGATCAGACGGCTGAGAGAGGGAGAGGCTCACCGGGCTATGATGTCTCACGGGAGACGGAGAAGAACGCCAGGCGGTGGCGCTCGGGGTCGAAGCGACCGCCGTCTTTGGTGGTTTCCAGGGCACACGGAAGGCACAACGAGGCTTAGCGCGATGCGGCGGTCTTAATAGTGGCCACGGGGTAGTCGGGCGTGTCCTCAGGCGATGGCAGGGAGCGGATAGAGCGACGGCAGGGTTGCTTTGAGTGCTCGTCGCCGCGCTCGATTGGGAGTGCCCCTGGGCAAAAGAGAGGATGAGGGAGAGAGAGGAAGTCTACGCGGATCGAGCATATGCAAAACGGGCGGCGAGGCCTCACCGGCGATGGAAAAATTGCTCACCGGAGGAGAGCTGCCACGGCGGTGGTCCAAGCTTGAAGGCAAGCAGCCTAGCGGCGGGGTGACGCGGGAGAGAGGGGGAATGGAGAGAGGTGTACCGGGGGTTTTATAGT